ATTAGGGGACGGGATTCTTGGCTCGGGGTCTCCGCTCTGGGAAGCTTATGCTCTTTCACTCTCAAGATGCATTAAAGCTTGTCTGCAGAAGGATCCGAGTGTCCCGTGTATGATTTCTTGCTGGCGAGAAATACAGAGCGCGCGGGACAATTCTCTATCTTATTTATTGAGGTAGAGTCTTTCTCTGAATCTGAAGCTTACCATAGTCCAGCTAGCCACCTTGCTCTGCAGATTCCCTGTCTTCACTTCCCCATCCCTGGGGTTACATGCTGGCCATCAGGCCCACCCAGCTTTTACATAGGGGTTGGGTAAGACCCTCATGCTTGCATGGCAAGTGCTCTGTCAGCAGAGCCATCAACTCCCCAACCCCTTTATTTTCTTTTTGAGGCAACTTAGAAATGTCAAAAAATGAACAGGTTTAAAGTATCATGCCATAGCCATGACTATGCCAACACAGACTAAGCAGGAAAAATTAACTTTTCTTCCCCCAAAAAAAGAATGGAGGGCTATAGAGATGGCTCAGAGGTTAAGAGCATCGACTGCTCTTCCAAGGGTCCTGAGTTCAATTCCCAGTAACCACATGTTGGCTCACAACCATCCGTTATGAGATCTGGTGCCCTCTTCTGGTGTGCAGATATACATGGAAGCAGAATGTTGTATACATAATAAATAAATAAAATCTTTAAAAAAAAAAAGAATGGAGAGTTTGTAAGATGCCTTATAATCACTAAACAAATACTAACAACAATAATAAGTCTATTAAACACAAGGTCTTGGAATATTCTCAGTCTGGCCTCACACTGCTAGGCTCAGGTGATCTTCCATCCTTAGCCTCCCTAGTACCCGAGACTATAGATACACGAGCTAAACAATTCCAGAGCTTAATGTATACTAAGCAGTCACTGAGCTACATACCTGTATATATTTATAGGATACAATGTTACATTAAGAACACACTAGAATAATCAAATCACATTAGTTATCTATCACCTGACATGTTATTTCTTGGTGATAAAAACATCCACAGTCTGTTCATATTAAAAATCTTGAATTAGGAGATGAGATGGCTTAGCAAGTGAAAGCACTTATGGCATAAGTCTAACTGAGAACCTGAGTTTAATTACTGAAATCATCAGTGGAAAGACACAATCAAGTTCTCAAGGCTGTGCTCTCACTTCCATGTAATGTGCTATGGCACATGCATGCTGCATTTACACCCTCATATTCTTTCTCTCTTAAGCATCGTTACCATTCTGTGAAGGAGGTAAGTCATTGAACCTTGGCACTCTTTGTCATCATTCCCTTTTTTACTATAGATTTTTATGCTCTTACATCATCCACAGACTCTGGTAGTCACTTCTGCACTCTGTATGTCTTAGTTCAATTGCTTTACATTTGACATATATAACTAAAGTACTGTTTGTATTTTTCTTTCTGTGATAAAGGCATTTTTAAAGCCACATACCAGCAGCCAGCAAATATTTAACCAACTCCAGGTGTCCCTCCTGGGAAGCCTCCATGAGAGGTGTGGAGCAGCCAAGTTCTATGTCAGCCCCTGCCTTAATCAGGAAATCTGCAACTTCAGAAAAGCCTCCACAGCAAGCCAAGGTAAGGGCAGTTTCTTGGGTTTCTTCTGTCTGGGCATTTATATTTGCACCTGAAAGCACAACAAAAGACAGAACTTGCTAAAGAGAATTATAATACATTATTCAAATAAGATGATAATCATCTACCATCTCTACTTAGGCTGTTCTTCTAGAGTATTGAGAATTTTATAAGATTGAAAGTTCAAGGCTTGCCTAGGCTACACAAAATTTATTTTCTCATCAGCGCATAAACAGTATCTACTTCAACTAATACACAAAACATGAAAAAAAATTAATTTTTATAATGTACAATGACTTTACCTTGTGCCAACAGCAGCGCCACCATCTCTTCATGCCCTTCCCGAGCAGCTTCCATCAAGGGTGTGTATCCTTCATCATTAACTTCTTCAAGATTTGCTCCTCTTTCAATAAGCAGTGCTGCCAATTCAACATGTCCGCCACAAGCAGCTAGAGTCAACGGAGACTCAAAGGAATCTGCAGGCATATTCACTTGAGCACCACTGTCCAAAAGCAAACGTGCCACTTCTACATGTCCATCCTACAGATGTTCAGACATAAAACAAAACAAACAACTTTTCATTTTCAGTTTTTGTTTTTAAGTGGAAGGCAAACAAGGATCTAAAGAAAGATTAGCTGATATAGGTTATATAACATACATTATTATCATTCCACCTGAACCTTACTTAACGCCCATTAATACTATTTTTTAAATGCTTAAGTGGCTGGGGAGATGACTCAGTGGTTAAGAGTTAAGAACAGTTAAGACTGTTCTTTCAGAGGATCTGCGTTCAATTCCTAGCACCCACATGGCAGCTCACAACTGTCTGTAACTCCAGGATCCAATACCCTCATAGAGACATACATGCAGACAAAATACCAATGCACATAAAATAAAAATAAATTAAAATTTTATTTAATTTTAAATTTTAAATTACGGCCCGGTGGTGGTAGCGCACGCCTTTAATCCCAGCACTCGGCAGGCAGAAGGCAGGCGGATCTCTGTGAGTTGGAGACCAGCCTGGTCTACAAGAGCTAGTTCCAGGACAGCCTCCAAAGCCACAGAGAAACCCTGTGTAAAAAAAAACCAAAAATAAATAAATAAAATTTAAATTGCCTTAATTTTCATAAAAATTTTTAAAAACAAATTGGACTTCATAACAAATAGTCACAATTACAAATAACTTTGAAGTTTTATATTCTTTGAGGTTCAAAACAACTACCAAATCCAGTCAACCATACCTCAACAATCAGGTCAAATATAAACATATTCTCAAAATTAGAGTTTCTATTTTTAAGTGTAGGAGCTGTACTAGAACTTCCTTAGAAGGGAAAGCTTGACAAAAACAAACAAAAAACACAAACCAAAAAAAAAAAAAAAAAAACCAAAACCAAACAAACAAACAAAAAATGCACCATAATTTGAATTGTGAAGCTGCTACCAATTGGGATTTTGTCACTTAGCTAAGTCCCTATGGATCAATATTGCTTTATCTTTGCTTCATCATAGCAAACTATTGCACCAAGGCAAAGAACATTTTAAAAACAAAAATTTTATTTGCATGTAAATTATTTATCAGGGTCTTTCATATGCTAAGCCCATATTTTAACCACTGAGCTCCACTCTAGTCCCCAATTTTTTGTTTTAAAGATTTATTTTTATTCATGTGTATATTTTTGTGCCAATGAGTTTATCAGCACCATGTGCCAGGAGGTGGATCCCCTAGAGTCAGAGTTACAGGCAGTTTGGAGCCACCATATGGGTGCTGGGATCTGAACTTAAGTCCTCTGCATGAGCAGTAAGCACTCTGTGGTTGATTAGATGAGACTGGCCCTCACAGATTCATATATTTAAATGTCTAGTTCTTAGTAGGTGGAATGTTTGAGTAGGATTAGGAGTTGTTGTGGCCTTATTGGAGGAGGTGTGTCACTGGTGGGCTCTGAGATTTCAAAGCCCACATGAGGTCGAGTGTGTATATATCTGTCTGTCTGTCTGTCTCTGCCTGCTGCCTATGGATCAGGATGAAGCTCTTAGCTACTGCCCTAGTGTCATGCATGCTACCATATTCCTGCCATGATGATAATGTACTAACCCTCTGAAACTATAATTAAGCCCCTAATTAAAAGCTTTCTTTCGTAAGAGTTACCTTGGTCATGGTATCTGTTTACAGTAATAGAACAGTGACTACAACACTTAATTTCTGAGCCATCTCTCCAGGCTCTCAGTCCTCAATTTTAAATTCTTGACTTCAAGGGCTCAGTACATGGGCTGCTCTTCCAGAGATTCTGAGTTCGATTCCCAGCCACCACATGGGGGCTCATAACTACCTATAATGAGATATGGTGCCCTCTTCTGGTGTACAGGCATATGTGCAGGCAGAACACTGTATAATATCTCTTTAAATTCTTGACTTCAAAAATTGTATTTGCTTTAATACTTGTTTTAAGCATATGAAGTCAAATGTTACATCATTCTAATTTCAAAAACAATCACACTATCACTAATAAGTAAATTTGGGTGGCTGGAGAGATGGCTGGTGGATTGAGAGTACTGGATGCTCTTTCCAGTGGACCTGGGTTCGATTTTCAGCACTCCCATGACAGCTGACAACTGGCATACATGCAGTTACAGAGACAAGTGCCAGTAGAACATATACATGTAAAACAAATAAACCTGGAAGAAAAAACACCTCACAAATTATCCATTCAATAAATGAATGGGTCAGGCTGGAGAGATGGCTCAGCGGTTAAGAGCACTGACTGTTCTTCCAGAGGTCCTGAGTTCAATTCCCAGCAACCACGTGGTGGCTCACAACCACCTTAAATGAGATCTGGTGCCCTCTGCTGGCATGCAGGCAGAAGACTATACAAAATAAATAAATAAAATCTTAAAAAAAAAAAAAAAAAAAAGCCCAAGAAACTTAAAAAAAAAATAAAATAAAATAAATGAATGGGTCAATGAACTGAGTATCTGTTTCTCAATAGAACCTTCCATCATTGGGTTTTGAGGACCCAATTTAGGACATTCAGTTTGTGTGTCAAGTTTTTACATGATGAACCAACTCACTGGCCTTCTTTATAGCAATTTAATGTGAAAATATAAGGCCAGGCGTTGGTGGCTCACGCCTTTATTCCCAGCACTTGGGGAGGCAGAGGCAGGCGTATCTCTGTGAGTTTGAGGCCAGCCTGGTCTCCAGAGCAAGTGCCAGGATAGGCTCCAAAGCTACACAGAGAAACCCTGTCTTGAAAAACCTGTGTGTGTGTGTGTGTGTGTGTGTGTGTGTGTGTGTACATACATACATTGGGGGGGGATGATAGCTTACAACCTGTAATCCCAGCACTCATGAAACTGAGACATGGAAGAAAATAGTAAGTTGCAAACAGCTAGCTTCAGCTTCAGACCAATGTGGGCTAATGTGAAGCCAATAAGAAAACAAAACAAAACAACAGATAGACATGTTGGAAATATGTCTAACATCTCAAAAATTAAGAGTTTTATTAATATCTTTGGGACAGAGTTCAGCAGAGCTGAGCACTGCTGCTCTTCCAAATGATCCAGATTTGATTCTTAAGACCCATACTCCAGTTCCAGAGAATGACAGCTTTTTCTGAGCTCTATGGGCACTGCACACACATGGTACACAGACATACATGCAGGAAGCATATCCATACATATAAAAATAAAAAAAGAGCTGTTTGGTGCCTTTAACCCAGTACTTGGGAGGCAGAGGCAAGCAGATCCCTGTGACTTCAAGGCCAGCGTGGTCTACAAAGTGAGCTCCAGGACAGCAAGTGCTACACAAAGAAACCCTGTCTCGAAAAACAAAACAAAACAAACCTTAAAAACATTACAGTAAGATTACTAGATGCTATCACCCTCTAAAAGTCCATATATTAAAGCATTATTTGTTTTCTACTTAGAATTCAGTTAAAAATACAAGCCAAACATTAACAATTTTTAGAGACTAGACTCAGTTAAAGTGATTGCCATGTAAACATAAGGACGTGAGTTTGGGCACCAGAACCCAAAAAAAATAAAAAAAAAAAAAAAAAAAAAAAAAAAAAAAAGAATAAAACTAGGTGTGTTGGTATATAATAGTGAAGTGGACATATTCAGATTACTAAATCTCAAAGCCAGCCTACCTATTCTACTTAGGTGGTTCCAGGCTAGTGAGAGACCCTGCCTTTACAAGTAAGGTGGATGGAG